TAAGTAAGAGGCACTCGAACTAACATAACAGTACACATCAGCATTCTCAACAAGTACAAAGACTGAAATACCCCTTCACTAACACCACTAACAGAGACCATTTGTTGATTGTAATTTAAAGTTCAGTTAAATGGCTTTCTTTCTTAGAAAAAAGACATACGTACTAGCTGTATATGGTCTTCTTCAATTTTATTTGGTCTCTGTCAGCTTAATTTTTTAAATATCCCATGTAGGTGGATGATGTGAAGAAGAACATAGAATCAGTTCATGGCCCAGATGTTTATCCTGCTGGACAACAAATGCTTATCCACCAGGGGAAAGTTCTGAAAGATGCAACAACATTGGATGAAAATAAAGTGTCTGAAAATAGTTTTCTTGTCATTATGTTGACCAAGGTAAGAGTTTTTTCTTTCTATGTACAACCATCTAATTTAATTCTTCTTTTCACAATGTATACATGTAAAAGTTGCCTTTGCAGATATTTATCAAAAAAAAAAAAAAGTTGCCTTTGCAGATTTTGTTGCTTATGAATTGTAAAATGTATTGCCCAGGAACACCTCCAGAACTTTCACTGTGGGGTGGGCATGATTAAGCTAAAATCAAAGAGAGCAAACTACAAAGAGTGATGATTCATGGTGGCATTAGAAACAGGAAGAAAACAAGTCCCTCCTATAGTAATTTGTAATTCATTCACATAACATATGAAAAAAGATCAACATGATCTCATGAAATACTATTATTTCACACATAAGTATTTCAAGCTGAAAACAATTGGCTGATATCAGCTATTGTTCTCTTTGGTTGATGACTTTTGTGAGAAAGGTCTGCTTGCTAGCTTACAAATTTCTAGTTGAGTCTGGTAATAACCCTGCTGATAAGTTCTAGTTTGTCTTTTCATAGAATTTTATGTTCGATCAAAGAATTGTCCTACCATGTTGGTTCATTTCCACTGAAGAGTCTAGTTCAATTTCAACTACAATATCTCAAGTACTATTGCTTTTCTGTTGAAATAATGGTGAGAGAGCACATAGGAGATTGGACAGGAGGTGCCAATTATTGAAGAGATCTATTGCATTGCCTGATGACTATTATTCATCAATTGGGAGCATATATAAAGATGATGCATTTGACCGATGCCAAGTCTCATCTATGGTACCTGCCTAGTGTACTAGTGCTGGACAATATGCACACCTGATGAACATTTCTAGTGTATATTTAATAGCATTAACACTTTTAACTAACAAACTGAAATAGGTACATCTCCTTTTTGACAAGGCAGTATATCCATACTGATTAGTCAAAAAGCATGTGTTAGAAGTCAAAAACACCCTCATAATTTGACATTTGTCAAACCAATAGTGGTTTCTTTGTTTTTTTTCACTGGGATTTGCCTGATTTGTCGAAAAAAGTATGTGCCTAAATCATTCCATTAAAAAGTTGTGAACATTAGAAGTTTATTTAAATTTGGCTAGATGTAGAAATTGAGAAATGACTTGTAGATATGAAATCATTGTACAAGAATATTAAAATGGACACTTATACCTGTACCCATATCTGAGATCTTGGAAGATGGGGATTTATATCCCATTTCTCGTAGTCATGTTGTGCCAGTATCCTCATCTGGGTTATAGGCATCCATTGGATGCAAGCAAGGTTTTAGATGGAACATTGAACCAATTTAGGTAAGCAAGCCCCTTTTGATTTTCTTATGGGAGATCCATGTTCTGTTTGGTTTTTGAGTTGATAGCAAACATTATGAAGAACTTGAGCAAGTAGTCATTCTGATTTCCTTATCTGGTCACATGGCTATTGTTGATTTGGTTTTTATTTTATTGTTTCTATTTGCTATCAGGAGAATTTTATTGTTTTTATTCTATTATTTACATTCTGCAAAAAATTGTCCACATTTAATCCTCTTCAGATCTAGTTTGGTAACTATGTTCTTATTAATGTCAAGCTAAACTTATTGATTTTGGTGCTGAAATCATGTTAGAACAAGGGCTCATCTGCTGGAGCTTCAACAGTATCAGCTGCACCCGTAAGCCAGGTAAGCTCAAACACATGGCATCCAAAATTATATTGCTACTGTTTTCTTCTCTTTTATCTTTTTTCCATACACCACTTTCTTTTGCATCTTTCTCCTTCTTCATGATTATCATTTTTATAGGTTATCTTTATCATTATCATTATAGTTTAGTTTGTTTTTTAGTTACTGATCAAGGAAAGAGTAAAAACTTAAAACAATTATTGGTAACAAAGATTACTTTATCAAATTAAATAATACTTCTCTACAAACCGACTTTTGGTTGGTCTTTAGTTGCTTTAGTGTCATTTGCAACGATTATGTTTAATGCCATTTCAAAAAAAAAAAAAGCAAAAACAATAACAAAACATGATTCTGATAAAGAAAAATAATAGTATCAAATTCATGATTCTTGGTTATGTGGTGGGTTAAGGGTACAACTTCAAAGACATTTTGGTGGTTAACTTCAGTCTGGAGTACATGCACACGAACGCTCAGACACACGTCTCATCTTTTTTTATCTTACAAAGCCTATAGGATCAACAATATTATATTAGCATATCTATCAAAAAATCAATATTATATTAGCATGTTGAACACCTCGCTCTACCAGCATAAGCCATAAGTACCTAATGGGTAAAAAAACATTATCTCAAGTATTTGCCTTTTTGAATCAATGCTCTCTTTACGACAAATTCACATTAATTGGAACAATTTGGGCATCCATCAAAGAATTTAGTGGTTTAACAATTTATTCTAAAGCAACTTTTTCAGAGCAGGATTGGAGCTGTTTTTTCTTTCTGTATAAATTGATTGCTTATTCAATGGTTAATTGGGAAAAAGGGTTATCTATGTTTCTTTTCTTTTTGTCTTTTGCTGAATCTTTAGTTTTTTGTCATTTGAACTTTGTTGGTTCAGTTTCATGTTGTGTATTGTTCCTTGTATTTGGACCATCCTTGAATGTTTGGGTTTCTAAATTTATCATTGTTAATAAATCCCTTACTATTGTCATTAATGGTCAAAAGAAAACAAAAATATTAGCATTGCCTGTTTCTTATCCTGTCATCATTCATACTTAATGAATAGAAGCCCTGTCAGCTTGATAACTCCATATTCTGAAATTTACAAAACACATGCCACATTTGTTGGGGGCCTTGAGGCAGACTTGAATTGTCAAATACCTTTGCTTTCAATAGTTATTTATGATTATCTGGAAAAATAACTTAGTTGTGTTGTTTTCTTTTATAATTTTGAGCTTGGATGAATTAAGTAACTTTTGAAGCAAATCTCAAAACTGTTCAATTAAGTAAGTTTCATGTGTTTTAGAGAGGGTGGATGACTTCTTTCAAGTCTATAAATTATGGTTCCCTTTAATTGGATGGTATTACAGATAATTTGAATTTAATGTGTGTTTTTGAGGTGCCAATATTGGTACAGTTCTCCCTTTTTCTTATTTCTCTCTCCCCACTCCCTCCAACCACCAATCAGAAATTCTCTCTTCTATCTATTCTGAACTGCATATTCCCTGCTGTAACTTCCCATTATATCAGATCGTATTCTTCTTCCTATTTAATTCTCTTTCTTAATCAAGCATTACAAATCTAATATTTGTTTAAGATAAAAAAGTTTCCAGTGTATGGCTCCCAAGACCCCACATAGCTGGGACCAATGTTGGGTAATGGACTTATATTTCAGCTGTGGACCTTCTACACCTTCAAGTCTAACCCCTCTGCTAATCTTCCATTAGATAAACCTCCTTTATGTCTGTCAGGAAGGTTTTAATTGAAGCGGCACAGAAATGTTAATAGAATGATTATATCCTTGTGTACACAAAAAAGCTAAATTGATTGTATATAAATGATTTAGATCATAGCATAAGCAGATAAGTTATATTCCAGAAGTTCCATAACGATGTTTTATGCTTATTAATTACATATTGGAAGGCCATAATTAGCGATGTGAGTGGGTCAGGTTAAGTGGTAAACTGACACTGATCTGACACTGTCAGGTTAGGGTCGGTTCAGTGTTAATTGGGTTTTGGGTTAAGGTGACCCCATGCTAAACCCAACTCAGTGTTGCAGCATTGATATACTTGTATATATAAGTTTGATTAAGTGTAGTATATATGGGCCAGGTTGGGTTGGATTCAATAGGCCCTTTTCATTTTGTCAGGGTAGGTTGGGTTCGGGTTGATGTTGCTTTGGGTCAGGTTTGAGTTGAGCGAAACCCATACTAGACCCAACCCATTGACATCACTCTCTATAATGTTTATTCAAAAGTTCATATTACCATGTCATAGAAGTCTTGCCCTTAAACTTCAAAACAGTCGTAAAGAAGTTGTTGATAATACATACCTACAAGCCCCTTCATCTCTTATTAAGCAAAACATGATTTTACTTTAAACCTTAAAGTAAGACTTCATAACAGTCCTATGTTTTCTGGTCTGTCGGATTTTAGCTTCTGTTTATTCCCCCTTCTTCCATTTGAGCAACTTGAGTGGAGGGGTTTCCAACCTTCTGACATATTAGTATCATTCTCCTTGATCATTGTTACTTGGTAAAGAAAACTATGTTAAATGCAATAAATAAATGTTTACAGAGTCCAAAACTGATTAAAAAATTGTTTTGAAGATTAGAACTTTGATCTTCAACTATTCTTGTGATGGGAACTCTATTTCATATTAATACATGAAACATGTCTGTAACATGAGACATCTCAAGCTGTGAGGCATGTTCCTTTGTGCTTTGGATAACTACTCTGCTGTAATTTCTGTTTCACATAATAATACAATTTATAAATTTTCTTATAAAAAATGTTCCTTTGTACTTTGGAGCATATTAAAGTTGAGATTTGTGTCCTTGTCTAAGTTTGTAACTTTGATAAACTAAATGGAATAAAAGTGCAACTTTAAGCTCTACAATATTGCTTCTGTTTGTGACCTCCTGATACTTTCCTGTCTTCTACATGATTGGATATTTGATTCCTTTCTGTATATCATTTCATATGGATAGTGGTTTTTCAATCGTCATCATTTGTTACAGTCCTGGGTAGTTTGAATTGGATCCACCAAATTCAATGTCTAAGTGGCCAAGTCAATAGATTTTGGGATGTTTCTGATTTGGAAGAAAGCCCAGTAGGATTGTGGGTAGGGTGAGTTTCTGATTGAAGCACAGTCAGAGCCTCAGAGGCCTAGTTCCTAAGTCAGCTGATCTAGCTGTCTGGTTCACTCAGGGTTTTGGAATACTGTAACATCTTCCAGGTTATTGCTTATTCAAGTTCTTGAGGTTTCAATTGAGTCGTGTAACTGATAGAGATGCAGTTTTTAACATTTAATGTCACAGCAGGAAGAAAAGAAAAAAAAAGCATTGCCACTTCATTAGTGAAGAATTATCTTGTTTAAAGTTTGTCGTTTTCTGAACTGATTTAATATAATGCCTTCTATATGCAGGCCCCACAAACAACCTCTTCCCCTCCTACAGCAACTTCCCAAGTTACGCCAGCAACCTCAGCTCCGTGAGTTTCTTCATTTACTTTCTATTGCATTTGAGTGGCCTTTGTACCATTATACTTTATATGTTATTGGTTAACTTTTCTTCATTTGGCAGGTCACCATCAGTTCCTCCACCTGCACCTACCCCTGTCACAGCTACCCCTGCTTCTACTACTGTCCCGTGAGCTCTCTTCTATGTCTTACATACATATAAACATATATGCATGAGCATGAGCATATGCACAAAGGCAACCAAACTATGGATTTCTGTGGTTTATTCTCAAGATGACTGTCTATATTACTTAAGGCATTGTTAGGGTTGCTGGGGACATTGAGGAAAGTCAGGTTTCCCGTGCATGGGAACTGGGCGGGTTCCAAAGCATTTGCCCTTTTTCTGTACCATATTATGTTTAGTTATAACTTCTATTCTGCATAAATGAATTGTTCTTCTTGATTGCATGTTCATATTTTGTTGAGGCAGTGCTGGCACAACAGATGTCTATGGCCAAGCTGCATCAAATCTTGTTGCAGGAAGTAACTTTGAGGAAGCTATTAAGCAAATACTTGATATGGGTGGTGGGAGTTGGGACAGAGATACTGTTGTCCGTGCTCTACGTGCTGCTTACAACAACCCAGAGAGGGCTGTTGAATATTTGTATTCTGTCAGTCTTCTCATCTCTGTTTATTTCAGTGCTTCATTTGTTTACTTGGATAAAATTTAGCTTCAGATCAATTGGATGGTGTTTATTTTTATTTAATATTTGTACACCCAAGTTTATTTTCTGGTCAAGGTAATTGTTCATTCAAGCTCGGATTTTCTGCACTTGTCTTGCCATCCTTACCAATTATCATGCACTTCCATTCAGTCTATGACAGATGGTCCCATTACATAGTTACATGTGTAAATACCCATGCATATGAGACCACATATAATGGGGAACCTGTCACAGACTGAATGGACATGACAAGTGCGGAAGATCTGAACTCTGTTCATTGTGCATACTGTATATGGCATGTCTATGGATTAGTTGGGGTTGATCCCACAAGATAAAGGCCATTGGACCTTACTTTGTCATTGCAAAAAAGGCTGCCATATTGCCAAGACAATAAGAGGCCAGTTAGAGCGTACTCCACTGGTTACTTATTTCTTTTTTTTTTTTTCCTTTTCTAGGTATAGATATTCCTTAGTGATAACTCACCCAGCAAGATAGGGTCATTAAGGAAACTTTTTCTTTGAAATCGATGAATAAATATCTTTTTCTTTTGTTTCTGTGACTGTCAGTCATGCACTCATGTGGCTGGGATTTCTCTTATGGTGTTAATGCACCTTGGTTTAGGGTTTCTTTCTTCTACTTATTTCCATTTCTGTAAGAACACCTTTCTTTTGAAGTTTAAGCTAACAAGATCACCTTTGTTTTGGTTTGCATGTTAAACCTGTGACCCTACTCCAAAGTTTGAAAATGACTTATACACCTCCTTTTAATATTTTCAAAATGACCTGCCCAAAACTTTCTCTACTGTTAAAGCTATACAGCTATATATGGGTTCCTTTGTAAGATCATTCATTATGACTTCTATATATTCTTCTTTTATTTATCTATCTATTTTATTTTTTTATTTTTTTTGGGGGGAGGGGGTGTATTTACACATATACTTGTGAGGGGATTGGATGGAAGATATTTGCTTTTTTCCATTAACTGTACCAATGATGTAATTTTCTATTCTAACATTCTTTCTAGGGAGGTAGAACAACGGTTTCTCTTGATACATGCTATTTATATAATTGATTTTTACTGCATTTGTAGTGGAGCCTTCCCCTGTTTTCCCATCACAAATGAAGTGCAGATTATTTTGTGATTTTACTGATATTGTTTTTCTGATTATTTGTTATTGCTTTTATTTTTTATCTGTTGCATGTTTCAGGGCATCCCTGAGCAGGCAGATGTTCCTCTTGTGGCTCGGCCTCCTGCCAGTGGTCAAGCTGTAAACCCTCCAGCACAGGCTCCACAACCAGCACAGCCAGCTGTTCCTTCCTCTGGACCCAATGCAAATCCTTTGGATCTATTTCCACAGGTAGGTAAAGTAATATATTAAGTTCTGCTTTATGAAGATTCGTGGTGTCTTGATGAGCTTCCTTCTGTTAAACAGGGCCTTCCCAATGTGGGTGCTACTGCTGGTACAGGGACATTGGATTTTCTACGCAACAGTCCACAGGTACCTCTTTATCTAGCTGCTAATTTTTTCCCCAATCCTTAACAACCACTCAAGGTACCTACATCAAGATAAAGGGTATGAGATCCACATGAGATATGACTCATAGATATTCTATATTGAATAGTGACTTAAGTACTCATTGTTTAACAATGGATATGTTACTGAATAGAATGGAATGGTGAAGCAGGATTTATGTAGCCAACCTGGTATCTGGGACAAGGCTGGGATGATGATGATGATTATGAATAGTGCCTTAGTAAGCATAAGGCTGCTTTAGAAAGAGGCATATGCATAAATTTGTTTTATAAAATGGTTAACTATTCTGTTTTAGACACTATACATAACAAGATTAATATCATGTTTATGCACCCCCTTGGCATGTCATAGCTGACATAGAAACCTACACTGGATAAATAATATTATCCATTTCCACAGGAAAGTTCTGGTACCCCGTTACTCTGCCACAAGCAAAATGAAAATACTTCACTTTGCACTTATGAATGATTCTGCTTCTGGTTAGAGCAACATTGTGACAGAGGGAGACTCCTTGATCCTAATGGAATAGATTTATTATGTGTTTGGTATAGTTTCCGTTTATTAAATAAACGTTTGTACTTGATTTATCTTCAAAATCGAGAAAAGTACTTGATAAACCGTTTATTGACAACTAGGTGCCACTAGGCATCATTAGGCGCCACATCAGCGGAACAGTGAATAAACTTACACGTCAAAACCCACTTTTGTGAATATCAATACGTTACGTGTATGGATGAACATGAGGAGAAAAATGCTGATTTGGTGATGACATGGTGGCGTTTTGATAAACGCCTATCACGAAACGTCCATGCTGAAAGTGATGGATTGTGGACACCTAGAGGGGATTGGTAGGTTTGACCTTATTATACCAAGGCATGGGTTTATGTTGTCAAACTGACAGCATACTACTAGTGGACAGGAAGCTATCAACAAATTCACTGTTTTCTTTTGTACTGTAGCTCATGCAAATGGGTACCCTGAAAGGTGAATTCTGTATCGTCACTCACAAGAATGGATTGGTAGTCTTGACCTTATATGGGACTCCCTCCATGGCCTGGGTTTATGTTGCCAAACTGCATCAATCACAGTAATAGTAGCATAGGGAATTCTCAACAAATTCAATGTTTTCTTTTGCATTGTATTGGTTCTTGCTACCATCATTTTAATAGCCGGGGCCCCTTTTCTTCATAAAAGTACCCCCTGATTGTGTATTTGTGTTATTGATCAATCAAAAATTGATGATAGGATGGGATTATAGATGATTTGTCCATTTTATTTATTGGATGGCTCTCTTTCATTCACTTGAAGGAATGGCATGAGCAATCTAGGCAACATGCCTAATCATTCCTTCAATTTTTTGGATTATCTTTCAAGTGTGTGAATTGATTCCCAAAACTACAGGAAACGTTTCAAAAGTATGACAGTACAAAACACATTTTAGGCACAAATGGAACTAAAAGAGGAAAAGATAATAAATTAACTAATTAAGTGATGGAATATCTTATGTTCCCTTTCAAAAGAAATGTTCCTGCAAACGTGTGCTTTTGGTAATGGTACCTCCTAACATTTGCACTCAAACCTGTCTCCAGTTGAAACAGATGAGAATATCTAAAGATTTGGTTGTATCTAACAGTTTGTATGTGATAATATATTTTCTCTGTTGCAGTTCCAAGCTTTGCGAGGTATGGTGCAGGCGAATCCCCAAATCCTGCAGGTCCTTTATTTTCTTCTGGGTTTTCATGTACTTCCCTTTTTTTTATTTCCTTTGAATATCCTTGACGTTTTTTTGTTTTGTGGTGTAGCCTATGCTTCAAGAGCTAGGGAAGCAGAATCCACACCTAATGAGGCTTATTCAAGAGCATCAGGCTGATTTCCTCCGCTTGATCAATGAACCTGTTGAAGGAGAGGGGTGAGACATGTCTATAATATTGCTTTCATTTCATGAGTTGATGGTTGAATATTTTTTATGCCTACTATTTATCAAAAACCATATTTTTTATGCCTATTAATATGCTGGTCAATGTCTACCAGGAATCTATTTGGACAGATGGCCCCAGCAACTGTGCAAGTCACTCCTGAGGAGCGTGAAGCCATTGAACGTGTAAGTTTACATCTACCTTGTCAGAATGTGATTTTATGGTGCCAGTTAATTTGTGCTGATTTCAGGGAATCCTTAACAACATGGGGCGACTGTTAGTTGGATGAACACTTGTTTATGTATTATACACTAGCTCATATCAACTGAAACAAAGTATACTAGCTAATGAATCTGGATTATCCCATCATCTTTCTACATTTATGTTGACCCTAAGTAGGGGTGGCAATTTTTAACCCAACCCGCTGAACCCACCCAACCCGCCCATTTACTTGGCGGGTTGTGTGATCAACCCATCACCCAACCCACCCATTTAAATGGGTTGGGTTGGGTTGTGGATAACCATTGGGTTAACCATTATAGACATAAGTATTAATTCCTTAGTATTTTTTTTTTAATTTTCTTCATTTAAATTAAATAATTTATAATTAATGCATTAATTTTCTATTAATAATTGACTAAATTTAGTTTTGTCTTGAATCAATACACTTCACCCGACATAAATCCAAATCAATTTGACCCGAGTTCGGACCAATTCAACGCGGTCTGACCTGATCCAGCATATACTGATCTGGGTTGACCCAAATCCGAAATAGACCCCGGGCAGGATGGTTCGGTGCCGCTTGCTCTGTTCGATTTGGGCCGTCTGGTCCAACCAATATTCACACACTCTGACCTGACCCGTTACAAGTCGATCCGGGTTGACCCGAATCTGAAACGGTTTTGGGCGGGATGATTTGGCCTTTGCGTGCTTTGCCCGATCTGGACCGTCCATCCAACCAATATCCACCCGACCAACCCGATATAGCTACATTGATCCGCTTCGGGTCAGCTGGTCCGGTCCTGAACCCGTGCACAAACCTGATATGGTCCGGTCCAAGTCAATCGACCATTGACTGAACCGATCTGGTCTGGTCCGACCAGATTGATCCAGATCTAAACGGTTCAACCACCCTTGAACCTAAGTGGTTTAAGTTGGTTTTACCGGTTTGAACCTAAGTGGTTCGGTCAAACCTAGAACCCGAACATAGTCAAATGGCTTCGCCGCTTGTGTAAAAATTAACATGCATGTAATGTGATTTGAACCTTCACTTATGTAAATAATAACTACAATAACCACCAAGCTACAACCAACTTGTTTGTTAAGAGAGTGTTTTTTAAGTCCATAAATATAAGATTAATGGGTTTGGGCGGGTTGGATTGGGTTAAAGCGAGTTTGGGTTGAACCCAACCCATTTAATTTTATATAACTGGGTCATTAATGGGTTGGCGGGTTAGATGGGTTGGGTTGAAACTCAACCCAAACCAAACCCAACCCGACCCGTCCAATTGCCACCCCTAACCCTAAGTGACCCAAAGTCCCAATAATCAACTCAGCTTAATAGTAATATTTTTGGTAATTGGCATGCTTTGTATGAATTTCAATTGGTATGCTTTGTATGAATCTTAATCTCTTTTTTTCTAAATTGGGAAATCTAAATACCTCATCTAGAAATTGAATATCATTGGGATGGTTGCAGTTGATGGATGTGTCAGGTCAGGTGAGTTGTGTTAGGTCAGAGAATTCTCAACTAGCCCTGTGGTTATCAGTAGTTGGGTTGAATTCCTCTTTGAATCTATAGATGATGTATTACACGGTTTTTAAGTGAAGTTTGAGGTTTACTATAAGGTTATGGCGGCTTGTTGGCAAAGTTCATATTTGACCCATTAGACCCACTATTTAAGTATTTTTTTTTTTGATAAATCACTATTTAAGGGTTTGTGCTATTCCTAAACTGAACCTTGAATGTACTGAGGTCCCGGTGCCATTTTCAGCAGTGATGATTTCATTCCATCCTTTTGCCCTTTGAGGGAGCACCTTTGAATTACCGTGTTAAGCAAAAAATTCAGTACCCATTGTAGTTACAGGTGGGTTGTCATCAAGGAAATGCTGATTAGAAATAACCATTGAAAGATCTGTCATCCGCCAATCCTGAAAGATGGTTCTTTTTTTTATCTTTCCTGATAAATCCCTTATGTGTCAAGTTGTTTCTTGGTTCCATTTTCAGTAGTTTGCTTTACATTTTCAACTTTGTAGATTTTTTAGATTGGTAAATTCAACTTGGTAACATGTCCTTCCTTGCTTATCAGTTTTAAGCTCTAAAAGATAAAATGATTTTTCAAATGGTTGTGAGAACACTTGTTTATATTAGTATGTTAGTGTTGATGCTGTATCTTTGTCAGCTTGAGGCAATGGGCTTTGATCGAGCACTTGTACTGGAGGTATTCTTTGCTTGCAACAAGAACGAGGAGCTGGCTGCCAACTATCTTTTAGATCATATCCATGAGTTTGAGGAATGAGGCAAGGGTAAATAAAAATGGGTTTTTCCTTCATTTTTTTTTCTTTTAAACTTTTTTTTCCCCTTTTCTTCCTGTGTCCCTGGTGGTACAAGTCTGTAATGTGGAGAATGTGGTAGTTTTTCTTTTCTTTGGTATTTCTTTTTTTTTCTCCATTTGAAGAGTTATTACAATATTTATATACATGGATGGGAATGAGTAACTGTGTATAATGTTTTCACAAAAGTTCGTCGGGTAATGTTGCATTTGGATCATTTTGGCACTTGTTTGCATATGATTGAATTTAAGAATCATTGGAAAGGAGGAACAGGAATTTTTTTTTTGCTAAAAGAGGAACAGGAAAATTTAAACTCTTCAAGAATTCGTGATTTGACATTCACTGTAGGACTTGTGAATTTGTAATGACTTTGGCGCGCCTGGCCTTACCATACTGCTTTTTATTTTGGGTCATTTAGTAAAACATCCCCTATAGGCTATAGCTTCACGTATTTACTAGACCTGTCTGGAAAGCGAAAATGGTTTTTTTTATTCTCAAAGTGCCCTAACAGTTCATATCAAGCTTTTGGGAAGAAATAATGTTAATAATGTTTAATTTTCATATCTATCAAATGTTTGGTTTTAGTAGAGGAAGAGATAACAATGGCATCTGGGGTTATTTGTTAAGAATGGACGTTTATCAATAAGCATATTAAGAAGGGTTTTTAGGTCGTTTTTCCAAAGTTTGCAGAAATTTGAATTCATTTAATGAAATAAATAAAATCGAAATTACTTGATTTCAGGCTGAATGGTATGGGAAAATTTTTTAAATTTCATTGAAATTGGTATTTAACTGAATAAGCAATAATGTGTTTTTGGTCTGAAGTCTATTGCTTGATAATTTGATATATCTAAAACATTTTACGAGGCTTTTGGTTGATACAAAATTTGTAATTTTTGTCTCATTTTTGTTCACTGACAGTCCATTTGTATCACCTTCCTCTTAATTTGAGGGAGCTACATCATTTAACTTCCACTTTATTTTCTCTTACAAGCAAATAAAACAAAGTCGGATCTGAGGCAAAAGTAGGCCAAATTTTCACACTATTTGTACTTCCATGCGTGTATACCAAATCATTGCACACAAACTGAGACTTTAGTTTCCACTTTCCACACCAAATGCGTTAGCATTTTAGATTTCCTTTAGGCTCCATTTGGAAAGAGTGCAATGTGCAAATGCCCCTTCAGTGCATATTAGCACTCTGATTCAGTTTTTCTAGCATTTGATAAGAATGAATCTGACCCTGCTCAAGAGATACAAATGCATCTGACTCTCGTCAGGGTCCATTCTCTTTTCGGCAACCTCCAGATGCTGGAGTATATAATGCCAGTATAGATGGAGGCTTTAAAGATGACAAAGGTAGTTTTGGTGTGATAATCAGAGTCAGCACTGGTTTTAGCATCGCAGCGTACTTTGGTTCATTTTTGTTTCCTCGGCCCTTCAAGCAGAGGCCTTAGCAATTAGACAAGGTGTGGGTCTAGCTTGGTTTGCTGGAATTGTGAGATATGTGATCGATATTGACTGCCAATCATTAGCTCTTGTTCGCTTTGCAGTTGACATTTATCTTTTGGCCTTATTCATTTGTAACAGTGCAGTTTACTTGGGTAAGTGTACTTACCCATGTTCTTTTGATTTTCAGGATTCTTAAATAAATAATAACATAACATTTCTACCCACAAAAAAATAAGTATTAAAATGGGTAAAATGGTCCTGTCATGTTTTGTAAAAGTTTCTCTTAGGTGGGAAAGTTACTTGTCCATCTTGGGAAATGGGTAAATTCAACCCAGAAAAGTAAAGGTAACTTTATCGTGGGGCCCCTTACTTAATGCAAAAAAGAACATAGGAAAGAATTGTCCATTGACCAACTTTCCCATGCATATTTACCTGCAAAAGAATGGGGCCTTTGGTGAAAGACATTTCTTGTGTTGTAGCAAACCTAAACTACTCTAATTTTATTAACATAAGCTGAAACCTTGTTATTCACAAACTAGCCCAACGGGGTCTTTATCTTTTCGATTTTCCAGATTGGATTGTCAACAATGTCTTCGAACAATCAACATTTCCCATATTGGGTTGTTAACAATGTTTTTGAACAGTTGTTGACCTGGATGGTTGGATTGTTTGGCCTGGGAGTTGTCTAAGCAACAGGTTCCATTTTATCCTAAACTTGGTCTTTGGCTAAAAAACATTGAATTGGTCAGCGGTCGATCCGTCAACCTGTTCAATGATTTTGACCATTTTTTAATTTTACTTTTTTATTTTTGCATTGGAATGGGCCATCAATTCGAATTAGACAGTCAAACCGTCGACCCAAAAACCGATGGCTAGAATGGTTGCAGCTCTAGGTCGGTTTTTAAAACCTCGATTGTCAATCTTGGAAGGGAAAACTCTGTTTGGCAATCTCTTTGGCATTGCTTTGTCTTTTAACTCTTATCTAATATATTTCCTGCTTTTGAAAAAAAGAATGCATTTGTGCCTTGAAAATGATAGAAAATACAGATTTCAAAACATATTTGTATTCAAAATGATAGTAAAATGAATGCAAACTTTATACTCAAAATTGATCAATATTAAAAAGATATATTTCATTTTGACATTTTTGTTTATACCTCTCACAAGTAAAATCATTTGGCAAGAGTATAAAATTATTATTACAAAACTAAACCAGCTTTGCATTTTCATTAACCAGGCATATTTGCATTTTGTACTGATCATTTTTATACTAATCATTACAAATCCACGCAATTTGAATGAATCTTCAACATAATAATGCATTTCTATCTACATTAAAAGCGTTGATACGTGTATCGTATTGGTTTTCAGGGTTGTCCATTAATAGGAGTTTGGACATTTGATTTGAGTTGTTCTAAACGCTACTATTTCTTGTAATAAAAGACCTGTAAGAGCTCAAATAAAAAAAATACGGTTTAAATCTACCGAAAATTTAGATATCGGAAGCATTGACACTTTGGCTTAGTTTGGAAGGAGTATAAATACAAATAGGTATTTTATATTATTTTGTATGTATTTGTACTAAACATATTTGTACTTATACTATTTTTAAACTGAACCAACTGTGTTAGGAATAAAAAGATGCCTTTGTAATTTGTGTCTTGTGTGTATATGTCTGTGAGAGGGGACCGTAGAATAATGGTAACCTGCCTCCAAATTGATAATTTGATCCGGAGTAGTTGGGTCTTAGAGGAGATCACATCAGCACCCCACAGTAGGTGCCTCACATGTACATCCCAGTGTGCATTGGGAACATTTCCCTTGTCATCAGGAGATGTTTCTAATATATGGTTGGGATGTGCTGTGGGACGCTGATGTGAACTAGTCTTAGAGGGCCAACCCACTTATTATGTGTGTGTAATCCAAGACAAGATTGTGGACCACTCTCAAATTTTCCCATCCCATCACCTTCCAATAAAATACATTCCAACTCTCTCCCAATATGATTTGACATTGCACATCTCGTGCATTGTAGGTCATAATCTCATGCTATAATATCAAAAATAATGATGTCATCATCGGAAAATGTTCCCAATACACGACGGGGATGTCCTGTGGAACGTTGTGGGAGGCTGATTTGAACTCATTTCCTTTGTCATTATGGAGAGATGTTCTTGAGGTAAGGCTGCAATGGTTGGTTGGGATGTTGTTAGGACCTTGTGCGTTGGTGGCTGATCCGAACTCTTTGAATACATAAATAGGAAAATATATAACAAATTGTAAAAATTTAGAGGGAGGTCCAAGACATTTTTTTTTCTTGATTTTAAGAGATACCGCTTCAGCAACAAACAAAAACATGTTTTTGTTTCTTACAAAACAAGGTTAATACATTCCAATGCTTTTGAGATAGGGGGAAAATGTCAATCAACTTTATACAGAATCTTTGAGTGCATGTGGGCAGATTCTGTCCACCCATTTAGCTTGTGAAAGACATGCATTTTGAGAATTAGACAAGAGAGATTTTTTGTTCTTCATCTCTTGTACACCTTATATTAAAATAATTATAAAAATAGACAATATAAATTATAAGTTATTATAAATATAAAAATACTAACAAAATAAAATATTGCTTAAGATCTTGAAAATTTTTTAAACCCGATCTAAATTTGCATCTACCACAAATTTAGAAAGGTGCAACTTGGTTTGACCCCGCCGGAGTTAGCGTTTTTACTCGGGCCTAGGGGGATTTAGACAAAATCCAATTCAAAACCGATCCATTGACACCCTTAACAACAACCACAATCTGAGTTCGCCCAAATTAAACCCAATTTGAAATGGATTTCCCACATAATATTCTAGATGTGTGGGTTACAGTACTTTTTTAGCTTTCATGGGCTACAGTGCATTTGCATCGATCATATGCCCAAACAGTCAAACCTAGCACATTTTCTTTATATTTTTTAAATGAAGCCTAGCATTGGAAAACATATATGGGCCATTTCTTAGTTATGTGGAAAGTGGTGTATGTACGTTCATGTTCATCCCTGTTTAAGCCGTTATGGTCGGACACGAGTTCAATGCACGGCTAGGATTCTGCCCGTGGATTTAACATCAATGCACGGTTAGGATTCATTCCACCCCTAGGGTGGAGTTAAGATTTCTAAGGGTGGAGCAGGATTCATTCCACCCCTACCAACATTTCAACCCATATTTCTAAAGAAATTCTTGGGTTGAAATGCTGCTATGTCCAGCCTACAAATCTCACTGTTGGAGAATTTAATTTCAGCATTGCAAGAAAGCAAGCATTTTGGTTGTATATTCTGGTTGTATTCCTTTCGGACCACCATTGCAAATTTATTGAGGCTGTGTGTTGGTTGCAATACAAATTTCATTTACATTTTTACATTGGTGATGTATATATATGGGAATGCAAATAGTTTGATTTTAATTTTTTTTTGGGAAAATTCCACTTTAGTACCCTAAACTTTAGAGGTAGTGTCAAGTTAGTACCCAAACTTTCAAATGTGTCACTGCATTATCCAAACTTTTAAAAAGTGTCAAGTTAGTTCCTATCGTTAACCGATTTGACCGTCAGTTATCTGATAACGTGTTGGCATGTGCAGCTTAAAATTTTTTAAAATATCAAAACTACCATTCAAAAGAAGAAATTGTTTATTGTCTTCAAACTTGAGATTGGGAGAATCGTAACTGGGAGGATGAGATGGTCTCTCCAAGGAATGACAACACTCATCATTGGAGGAACCCAAGGAATT